CAGATCCATCACTGTTTGAGTCCAAAGTGTTCTCTGGATGTAGGTAAACTACAACTCCCAGACTCAAGGTCAATGCTTACCAAACCCTTCTAGTATTTTCTGTTGGTTATGGGAGTTCTGTGTCCCAAGATTGGTTCAATTCCATCATTGGTGGAGTTCAGAATGCTCTTTGATTGTAGGTCAACTATAAATCCCAGCAACTACAACTGCCAAATGACAAAATCATTTTTTTTTTAGTGAAGGGAATACATTGGCCTGATAGGTGTCTTGTGTCCAAATTTGATGTCAATTCGTCCAGTGGTTTTTGAGTTCTGTTAATCCCACAAACGAACATCACATTTTTATTTATATAGATGGCACAAAACCACATATATACACATATACACAAATATATACACACACATATATACATATATACACACAAAACACATATACACAGACTGGGCCACAGCAACAGCTAGTTCACTAATAAAAATGAATTATAAAAAGTAAATAATAAATAGTTGCTGGGATTTATAGTTCACCTGCAATCAAAGAGCACTCTGAATCCAGCCTACGATGGGTCTGCACCAAACTTGGCACACTACCTACATGGCCAACATTGAATATTGGTTGGTTGGGCGGGGGGCTGTTTTTGAATTCTGGGAATTGTAGTTCCCCAACACCAAAAAGGATAAGGCGGCCAGGTGGAGAGATCTTCAGCCTTTTCTGCCAAAAGAGTTCCTAAGACCATCAGAAGTATGTGTTTTCTGATGGTCTTTGGTGACCCCTCTGAAACCTCCTCTTGACCCCCTCCAGGAGTCCCAACCCCCAGGTTGAGAAACACCGCAATAAGGGTTACCTGGTGCGCCTATATTATTTTGCAAGTTGATCAGTGTGATGCCTGATTCAGATCTAATACAACATGTATTATATATTATACTAAATCTAATAAGTCTGATCGTATTCGCCCCTCCCCTCTCCAAGTCCTTTCTATGAGCTGGCTGGAAGGATCAACTCTGGTAAACCTAATTTCTATGCTTAGGAAGAGCTTTCCTTGCTAATTTTTCAAGGGGCAGGGGATATTAGCCAGCTGTTTTGAAGGCATTAAAGCAAGGCCAGCAAATATGTGTCTGTATCTTTAAAGCTAATGAGGTTTACTGGTCTGAGTCCTGGGTGGTGGGCTTTTCCCACTGCACAGTTGTGTCCTGTGCAATGCTGGGATTTGCAGTACTGAAAAGGGGATCTATATTTCTATATTTCAAGGGAAGGCATTTGAGTGTTTTGGCCTATGGAATTCATAAATCAATAGGTGCCTTGAAGACACACATTTAGAATTTAATCAGGAAGCATGCTTTCTTGTTTCCCCCCAAATTGGTTAAGTGTGCCTCCCCAAAAGTGGGATTCCTAAGCTGTTTTTGGACTTCGCATCCCAGGAGTCCCAGCCACATTGGCCAACAGTAAGGAATCATGGGAGGTCCAAAACACCTGGAAGACCAACGTTTGGGAAACATAGGGATATGTTTTTGGTCTTTTCAGCACTGCTTCTCTCCTGTCCTAAGCCCAATTCAGCATTTCTCAACCTGAGGGTCACGACGGGGGTGTTAGAGGGGTCACCAAAAACCATCAGGAAACACGGTATTTTATGTTGGTCATGGGAGTTCTGGGTGCCAAATTTGGTTCAGTGGAGTTCAGAATGCTCTTTGGTTGTAGGTGAACTATAAATCCCAGCAACTACAACTCCCAAACGTCAAGATCTATTTTCCCCAAACTCCACCAGTGTTCACATTTGGGCATACTGAGTATTTGTGCCCAGTTTGGTCCACATCCATCATTGTTAGAGTCCAAAGTATTCTCTGGATGTAGGTGAACTACAACTCCAAAACTCAAGATCAATACCCACCAAACTCTGTTCATCATGGGATTTCTGTGTGCCAAGTTTGGTTCAGTTCTATCGTTGGTGGCGTTCAGAATGCTCTTTGATTGTAGGTGAACTATAAATCCCAGGAATGACAACTCCCAAATGTCAAGGTGTATTTCCCCCAAACTTCACCAGTGTTCACATTTGGGCATATTGCGTTTTCGTATCAAGTTTGGTCCAGATCCATCATTGTTTGAATACACAGTTCTCTCTGGATGTAGGTGTACTACAACTCCCAAACTCAAGGTCAATGCCCACCAAACCCTCCCAGTTTTTACTGTTGGTTATGTGAGTTCTGTGTTCAGTTCCATTGTTGGTGGAGTTCAGAATGCCCTTTGATTGTAGGTGAACTATAAATCCCAGCAACTACAACTCCCAAATTACAAAATCAATTCCCCCTGCCAACCCTACCAGTATCCAAATTTGGGCGTATTGGGTATTTGTGCCAAATGTAATCTAGTGAATGAAAATACATCCTGCATATCAAACATTTATGTTACGATTCATAACTGCAGCAAAATTAGTTATGAAGTAACAATGAAAACAATGTTATGGTTGGGGCTCACCACCACATGAGGAACTGTATTAAGGGGTCGCGGCATTGGGAAGGTTGAGAACCACTGATGCTATTCTCTGGTCCGATGAGCAGATAACTTTACACTTACTCTTTCAAGCTGGCAATTCCAAGCTGCTGATATAGTACTTTAAAGGAACCTGATGACATTATTTTCAGGATCCTCAAGCTACACCTGAATGAGCTGGAACAAAGCGTAAAATCAGGAAGGCTTCTTCTTGTCTGACCCCCTAATATGATGTGTTGCCTGTGAAAAATTATATCATCATAAATGCGATAGCGTTTCAGGTTTTGCAGAACTCAGGACTCTTTCTGGTTGTGCTTTCCAAATGCCTTGGACAAGCAAAGACCTGAACACAAATCTGCATTGTGTTGCATAGAAACATCATCATCCACGCTTCTTCCACCTGTGTTCATTCAACCAGGTTGGAAAGGCCAGCAAAAGATGCGTACGCAATGCCATCTAGTGGTGGGAGATCTAGTGCATCTCCGCAGGCTAAGGTTCTTTTTAAAAAGAGACAAATTCATGGAGATATAGGAGCAAAGGAACTCTTCTTATCAAGACACCCAATTGAGCATCCACAGCAAGGGGCAATCAATCGTTAAATAAAAGCCGTTAGAGATACATACTAAGGAAAAGAGGGAAGCTTTTGAATTCGGTGGTGCAGTGGGCCATACCACCGAGCTGCTGAACTTGCTGACCAAGTCGGCGGTTTAAAACTGGGGAGCGGGGTGAGCTCCCGCTGTTAGCCCCAGCTTCTGCCAACCTAGCATTTTGAAAACATGCAAATGTGAGTAGATCAATAGGTACCACTTCGGCTGGAAGGTAATGGCATTCCATGCAGTCATGCCGGCCACATGACCTTGGAGGTGTCTATGGACAACGCCGGCTCTTTGGCTTAGAAATGGAGATGAGCACCAACCCTGCAGAGTTGGACATGACTAGACTTAATGTTTACATTATATGAGATTACGCTGCCATATAATCCAGTTCAAAGCAGATAATATGGATTTATTATGGCAGTGTAGAAGGGGCCCTATACTCTGATGCAGTGTTTCTCAACCTTCCTAATGCCGTGACCCCTTAATACAGTTCCTCATGCTGTGGTGACCCCCCAACCATAAAATTATTCTTTTTGTTGCTGTTTCATAATTGTAATTTTGCTCCTGTTATGAATCATAATGTAAATATCCGATATGCAGGATGTATTTTCATTCATTGGACCAAATTTGGCACAAATACCCAATACTCCCAAATTTGAATACTGGTGGGGTTGATGGGGAGGACTGATTATGTCATTTGGGAGTTGTAGTTGCTGGGATGTGTAGTTCACCTACAATCAAAGAGCATTCTGAACTCCACCAATGATGGAATTGAACAAACTTGGCACCCAGAACTCCCATGACCAACAGAAAATACTGGAAGGGTTGTGGGCATTGACCTTGAGTTTTAGAGTTGTAGTTCACCTCATCCAGAGAGCACTGTGGACTCAAACAATGAATCTCCAAACTTGGCATGAATACTCAATATGCCCAAATGTGAACACTGGTGGATTTTGGAGAAAATAGACCCTTGACATTTGGGAGTTGTGTTGCTGGATTTATAGTTCACCTACAATCAAAGAGCATCTGACAGATAGGCAATGTTGGGGGCTATTGCCCCACCATGAATAGAATGTACCTAATTATTTTACAATGCTTCAACTCACCTTAGGTTTTTGACCTTAATCACTTTTTCTTTTCATATCAGGAGCGACTTGAGAAAACTGCAAGTCGCTTCTGGTGTGAGAGAATTGGCCGTCTGCAAGGACGTTGCCCAGGGGACGCCCGGATTTGGTGTTTTATCATCCTTGTGGGAAGCTTCTCTCATGTCCCGACATGAGGAGCTGGAGCTGATAGAGGGAGCTCATGCAAGTCGCTCCTGTTGTGAGAGAATTGGCCATCTGCAAGGACGTTGCCCAGGGGATGCCCGGATGTTTTTATCATCCTTGTGGGAGGTTTCTCTCATGTCCCTGCATGAGGAGCTGGAGCTGATAGAGGGAGCTCATCCGCCTCTCCCCGTATTCGAACCTGTGACCTGTTGGCCTTCAGTCCTGCTGGCACAGAGCTTTAACCCACTGTGCCAACCGGGGGCTAATGGATTGGAATCAACGTTCCCTACAGATTCTTGATTGTGATTTGTTACCTTTCCTAGAGATTGCCAACTTTTCTTCCTGCTTGGCTCCTGTGCCTTTAAGAGAACCACCCAACATATAGAAATTGAATAGGGTAAGAGAAGGAGATGCTTGCTGAGCAAGTTGCTATCTTGAAAAGAGAAGGGAAAAAATACAAATTCAGCATTTTGTTAAAATGGGCAACTTTGCATGACAGCATGGAAAGAATATAAGGGAACATGAGAAACTTTAGACTCTGTTGTGCAACTCCTTTGCTTATTTGGTAAAGGGAGTCATGAGATGGGTGGGTGGGAAGGATGTTGGTCATGTGAGGAGGAGAGAGAAAGGGTATTTAAAGCTGGACCTTGGGGTTGGCGGTGATTGCAGTTCCCTTTCTCCTGGAACTTCCCATCATATCATTTTGATTCTGGGGATCCTAGGAAGAGATGCAGCATGGTTTCTTCTGGCAGGCTCTTTGTTGGAGTCTTCCTTCCAGTGACAGCAATGCTGTCTCTGGCTCAAGCAGGTAAGTCTCCATTGGGTTTAAACTCAAAGGCTTAGTCCTGGATTGCAAAAGGGATGCCATATGGCAGTCATGGGCCAACTTGGGCCCTCGAGATGTTTTGGACTTCAACTCCCACAATTCCTAACAGCCTCAGGACCTTTGCTTTTCTCCCTCAGCCGCTTAAGCGGCTGAGGGAGAAAAGCAAAGGTCCTGAGGCTGTTAGGAATTGTGGGAGTTGAAGTCCAAAACATCTCAAGGGCCCAAGTTGGCCCATTCCTGCTCTAGAGCCAGCCTGGTGCAATGGCTTGAAGTCTGGAACATTGCTATGGAATAATGGGAGTTGTAGTTTGGTGAGACACTAGGATTTTTTGGCAGAGAAGGCACCAGACCTTGTAAAACCACAACTCCCTTGATTCTGTAGCATTAAACCATGGTCGGTAACGTGTAAAATCAATGGTTCTCAAACTTCCTAATGCCGCAACCCCTTAATACAGTTCCTCATGTTGTGGTGACCCCCAACCATAAAATTGTTTTCGTTGCTACTTCATAATTTTGGTACTGTTATAAATCGTAATGTAAATATCAGATATGCAGGATGTATTTTCATTCGCTGGACCAAATATGGCAGAAATACCCAATTTGAGTACTGGTGGGGTTGTGGGGGATTGGTTTTGTCATTTGGGAGTTGTGGTTTGCTGGGATTTATAGTTAACCTACAATCAAAGAGCATTCCGAACTCCATCAACAATGGAATTGAACCAAACTTGGCACACAAAACTCCCATGGCCAACAGAAGATACTGGAATGGTTTGGTGGGCATTGATCTTGAGTTCATGAGTTGTAGTTCACCTACATTGAGCACTGTGGACTCAAAGAATGATGGATCTGGACCAAACTTGGCACGGATACTCAATATGCCCAAATGTGAACACGGGTGGAGTTTGGGGAAAATAGACCTTGACATTTGGGAGTAGTCGCTTCTGGGATTTATAGTTCACCTGCACCCAAAGAGCATTCTGAAGTCCACCAACTATAGAATTGGGCCAAACTTCCCACACAGAACTCCCATGATGAACAGAAAATATTGTGTTTTCTCATGGACTTTGGTGACCCCTCTGACACACCCTTGCAATCTCCCCAAGGGAGATTGCAAGTTGAGAAACACTGATCTAATCATGTTTCCAAAATTCCAATGGGCCTCCCTCATGCCAAATCAATCTTTCTTTCTTTCTTTCTTTCTTTCTTTCTTTCTTTCTTTCTTTCTTTCTTTCTTCTCCCCTGCTACCCACAAATTCTGCATCCTCAGATTCAACCACAGTTCTTTTTGTTTATAAAAAGCAAACCTTAATTTTTGTCATTTTATTATATAGATTACACTATGTAACAAAATTTGAAAAAGTTTTTGTTCCTGTTTTGATAGTGTTATTCCTGCTTAATTGTACAATACTTACTTCGAAAGTAGTTGTTCTACTCCAGAAACATTGTTTTTGTGGCTGTCACGAACTACGTTGAATTGGGTTGCTGTGAGTTTTCTGGGCTGTATGGCCATGTTTCAGAAGCATTCTCTCCTGACGTTTCGCCCACTTCAGTGGCAGGCATCCTCAGAGGTTGAGGGGTCTGTTGGAAACTAGGCAAGTGGGGTTTATATATCTGTGGAATGTCCAGGTGGAGGGAAAGAACTCTTGTCTGCTTCAGGCAAGTGTGAATGTTCGGTCCTCCCAACAAAGGATTCCCCATGGCAGGAAGCAATCAAGCTTTGAAGCTGCAAGGCCATTCAATGCTAATCAAGGTGGCCAATTGCAACATTCAGATCTGCCAGTGATTCAATCAAGGAAAGTTTGCAAATAAAGCTCTTCGGCAGGGAATTATAGCACCCCAACCCCCCCCCCCCATGCCTCGAATTGAGAAGAGCTTTCAAGATGCCGAACATGGAAAAGGCTATACATCTCTATCTATATGCAGTTGTCTGTCTTGTTGTATAAATAAATAAACTGTGAGATTTGAAAAGCAGCTGAAAAAGTGGAATGACAGAGAACTAAGTGAGACTGTACTTGCCAAATAGTTGGGGGCTAGGAAAGGAATATATGTGGTTGTGTGTAGTTTGGATAGAAATGTCCATTTTCACCCACCTTTGTTTTTCTCTTCCTCCCAACCCCAGGGCGACATTTCCACCTGCTCCGCCAGTGGATCCTAGAGCAGCGCGAGGAACGCCTGTTAAAAGAGGACAATTTTCTCCACTTGAACCAGGGAGTGAGTCTTACCAAATGGGACCACTTCATGGAGAACTTCATCCCTCAACCTCTGGACCACTTCAACAAGAAAAACCGGGCCACGTTCAACCAGGTAAGAAAATACAACAGCGATAGGAATGAGAAGAGGGAGCCAGAGAAATTCTCATGTGTACTTTGGGAAGACAACAGGTATGGGCAAACACAGGCCTGGGCCCGGATGCAGACCCTTGGGCTCTTTTCTCAGGCCCTCTCTCACCATCCTATGCTTCCTTCCTTTATTCTTTCCATCCTTCCTTCTCTTCATTCTCTTCCTTCTCTCCCTCTTTCTCCTTCCTTCCCTTCCACCCTTTCATCCTTCCTTTCTTCTTTCCTCCTTCCTTCCTTCCTTCCTTCCTTCCTTCCTTCCTTCCTTCCTTCCTTCCTTCCTTCCCTTTTGTCATTCCTTCCTCTCTCTTTCCTCCCTCCCTCCATTCTCTTCCACCCTTCCTTCCTTCCATCCATCCTTCTCTTCCTTCCCTCTTTCCTTCCTCTTTCCCTTTCTCCCTCTTTTTTCTTCCTTCCTTCCCTTTTGTCTTTCTTTCCTTCTCTCTTTCCTCTCTTTCCTCCTTCTCTCTTTCCTCTCACTCCATTCTCTTCCTTCCATCCTTCTCTTTTCCTTCCTTTCTCCTTCTTTCCTCCTTCCTTCTCTTTCTTTCTCCTTCCTTCCTTTGTCTTCCTTCCTCTTTCTTTCATCCCTCCCTCCATTCTCTTCCACCCTTCCTTCCTTTCTTCCTTCCTTTCATCCATCCATCCATCTATCCATCCTTCTCTTCCTTCCTTCCCTCTTTCCTTCCTCTTTCCTTTTCTCCCTCTTTTTTCCTCCTTCCTTCCCTTTTGTCTTTCCTTCCTTCTCTCTTTCCTCCCCCCCTCACTCCATTCTCTTCCTTCCTTCCATCCTTCTCTTCTTTCCTTTCTTCCATCTTTCCTCCTTCCCTCTCTCTCTTTCTCCTTCCTTCCCTTTTGTCTTTCCTTCCTTCTCACTTTCCTCCCTCCCTCCATTCTCCTCTACCCTCCCTTCCTTCCATCCATCCTTCCTTCCCTCTTTCCTCCCTCCTTCCCTCTCTTTCTCCTCCTTTCCCTTTTGTATTTCCCTACATCTCTCTTTCCTCCCTCCCCGCATTCCCTTCCACCCTTCCTTTCTTCCATCCATCCTTCTCTACCTTCCTTCCTTCCTTCCTTCCCTCCCTTTTCCTCCATCCTTCTCTCTTTCTCCTTCCTTCCCTTTTGTCTTTTCTTCCTTCTTTCTTTCCTCCCTCCCTCTTCCTTTCCTCCCTTCCTTCCTTTTCCTTCCTTCCCTCTTTCCTCTCCTCTTCCCTCCTCTCTCTCCCCTCCTTTTCCCTTTTTGTCTTTCCTTCCTTCTCTCTTTCCTTTCCAGCACTTTAACCCACTGACATACCAAATATGAAATTCCAGGAGCTGTAATCCAAAACTACTACATTTGATTTGATACCTAATGGAAGGGAATGTAAAAAGATGAAAAGCACCAGATGTGACCAAGACTGAAGTCTGATTTTTTAAAAAATAAAATAAAATAAAATAAAAACTCAAATTCTCCCTGCCCCAATATGCAGCAAGTGCTTGGCTTTAGCCTCATTTGTTCTCCTTGCAATCCACAGCGATACTGGGTTAATACTGGATTCTGGAGACCCAACGGCCCTGTCTTCCTCTTCATCGGAGGCGAGGGCCGCTTATCCGAATATGTGCTGCTAAGGGGTAAGTAAGTACCACCGCTGGAAACAGAAATGCATATATACATCAGCATAGGTCCTTTTTTACGCTGAAAAAGCCCCCCTCGGCTTATACTCGAGCCAAAGTTATGTATTATTTTACTCTGTTACTATTATTAATTTTATTACTTTACTTCATTTATTATTATTATTAGTATTATTATTACATTTACATTATATTTCTCTATTATTTTTATTACATTTATTATTTTTCTCTATTATTATTGCATTATTTTACTCTATTATTACTTTATTATGTTCATTATATTACTCTATTACTGTTATTATATGTAATATTTTACTCTTATTATTATTACATTTATTATTTCACTCTATTATTTTTATAGCATTTATTATTTTATTCTATTATTATTATCTTTCCATTATTTTACTATTTTATTCCTTTATTATTACATGTATTATTTTACTCTTATTATTATTACATTTATTATTTTACTATATTTTTATAACATTAATTATTTTATTCTATTATTATTATTACCTTTCCATTATTTTACTCGATTATTACTTTATTATTACATTATTTTACTCTACTATTACTTTATTATGTTCATTATTTTACTCTATTATTGTTATTACATGTATTATTTTATTCGTATTATTATTACATTTATTATTTTACTCAATTATTTTATAGCATCTATTATTTTAGTCTGGTATCATTATTACTTTTCCATTATTTTACTCCATTATTACTATATTATGTTCATTATTTTACTCTATTATTGTTACATGTATTATTTTACTCTTATTATTATTACATTTATTATTTTGCTCTATTATTTTTATAACATTTATTATTTTACTCTATTATTATAATGACCTTTCCACTATTTTACTCTATTATTACATTTATTATTTTTCTCTATTATTACATTTATTATTTTACTCTCGTGATTATTATTGGAAGAATAAGTAAGCACAGAATAATGGTTTAATCATAGATGGACAGTCTTATCTTAAATTACAGTTTTATGTCAATATTCAAAAACATTTAACCTCCTGATGTCTCAATTAATATAATTTTATTGGTATCTATTTTTACTTTGAAGTTCCCCAGTAGTTGCTGCATTTCCCACCCTTGGCTTATACTCGAGTCAATACATTTCCCAGTTCTTTGTGGGCTTAATTCAGATTGGTTTATACTTGAGTATATAGGTACCTAGTAATGAACGTAATCCAGAAAAATGGGGGAAGTTGGGAAGAGGACAGGGAAACCAGGACATTTTAAAGGGCAGATGAAATAGTGGGACAACAGAGGGTTAATGGAAACCATACCTGACAAATAAAGTTGGAGAATATGACTTTTCTCAGAAAGTCCATTAAATGGGTTTTCTTTCTGATTTCAGGGCATCATGTGAACCTGGCAGAGAAATACGGTGCTCTTCTATTAGCTTTAGAGCATCGTTTCTATGGTGGAAGCCTCAAACCTGAGATGCTGGAGGACCGCAACCTGCAATATCTGAGCAGCCAGCAAGCGTGAGTTGGTAGCTTCCCAAAACGTCTTGTATTGTGGGGAGAAAGGGATTATGGTCATGTGGTTCTCTTTGTTTGATGCACAAGGAGGCCCTTTGCCAGAATCTCCGGGTTTGCTTGTACTACACATCTCCCTGAATGATCCCAAAGCACCTTGCAATCATTTAAGACAGTGTTTCTCAACCTTCCCAATGCCGCGACCCCTTAATACAGTTCCTCATCTTGTGGTGACCCCCAACTATAACATTATTTTTGTTGCTACTTCATAACTCTCATTTTGCTCCTGTTATGAATCATCATGTAAATATCTGACATGCAGGATGTATTTTTACTCAGTGGATGAAATTTGGTACAAATACCCGATACACCCAAATTTGAATACTGATGGGGTTGGGGGAGATTGATTTTGTCATTTGGGAGTTGTAGTTGCTGGGCTTTATAGTTCACCTACAATCAAAGAGCATTCTGAACTCACCCAACCATGGAATTGAACCAAAATTGGCACACAAAACTCCCACAACCAACAGGAAATACTGGAAGGGTTTGGTGGGCACTGACCTTGAGTTTGGGAGTTGTAGTTCGTTTACATCCTGAGAGCAGTGTAGACTCAAACAGTGATGGATCTGGGCCAAGTATGGCACGGATACTAATATGCCCAAATGTGAACACTGGCGGAGTTTGGGGGAAATAAACCTTGTCATTTGGAAGGTGTAGTTGCTGGGATTTATAGTTAACCTACAATCAAAGAGCATTCAGAACTCCAGCAACGATGGAACTGAACCAAACTTGGCACACAGACCCAATTGTTGATCTGGTTTACGGATGACTTAGGACATCTAGAAAAGGCAGTCTTCCTTCATTGGATCCAATTCATCATGGAAAAAGAAAATGAAGGAAAACTGCCTTTTCTAGATGTCCTAAGTCATCCGTAAACCAGATCAACAACTGGGTCACACCGTTTACAGAAAACCCACACACACAGATAGATATCTACATAAAAACTCCAACCATTACCCAAGTCAAAAAGAAGCACCATTAAAAGCCTTGGCAGACCGTGCAAAAAGAATCTGCGAAGCCCACCTCCTCCAAGATGAACTGAAACACCTAAACTGGGCTCTCCAGGCCAATGGATACTCCACCTCAGACATCAGAAGAGCTGCAAGACCAAGAACAAGCCACGAGAGTAAAGATGAAGATCCACCCAGAGGAAAAGTGTTCTTGCCAATACATCAAGGGAACCACTGACCGCATAGGGAAGCTGATGAGGAAACACAACATACAAACACCTACAGACCCACCAAGAAAATCCAACAAATGCTACGTTCAGCAAAGGACAAGAGGGATCCTCTCACCTTTGCAGGTCATATACCATGCAGCTGTGGACAAGTCTACATAGGGACCACCAAATACAGCAGCATTGCCCAAACATGAATCAAGGAACATGAAAGGCACTGCAGACTACTTCAACCAGAGAAGTCAGCCATAGCAGAGCACGTGATGAATCAGCCTGGACACAGCATATTATTTGAGAACACAGAAATGCTGGACCACTCTCACAGACTACACAGAGAAGCCATTGAAATCCCCAAATATGTGGACAATTTCAACAGAAAGGAGGAAACCATGAAAATGAACAAAATCTGGCTAAAAGTATTAAAAAACTCTAAAATTACAACAGCAAAACAACAGAGAGGAAACAATCTGAGACATCTAATCACCTCTCAACAAAAGATTGCCCCAGGCATTGCCAGGCCATCAAATGCTAATCAAGGTGGTCAGTTGAAACATTCACAACTAGCTCCCACCCTGCTCATTCCACAGATATATAAACCCCTTTTCCTAGTTCCAACAAACCTCACTACCTCTGAGGATGCTTGCCAAAGATGCAGGTGAAACGTCAGGAAAAAATGCCTCTAGAACACAGCCATATAGCCCGAAAAAACCTACAACAACCCAGTTAAACATTAAACAATACAATTTATAAACTACTAAGAATGACCACTTTAGTGGTCATTATTAGCTGAAAACTAGTTGAATGCTCCATCAAACTTATCCATAATCTATTTCCAAGCCATTGTCAATATTGTTATTGTCTGCTTAATTACCTGAAGGCCTGGTCCCACATCCAGGTTTTTAACTTTTCCTAAAGGTGAGGAGGGATGTAGATGACCTAATTTCCCTGGGGAGTGAGTTCCATGGGGGGGACACCACCGAGAGGGCCCTGTCCTTCATCCCCGCCAAGTGTGTTTGAGGCAGAGGCAAGGCCGAGAGAAGGGACTCCCCAGATGATCTTAAACTCCGAGGTGGGACATAGAAGGAGATATGTTTGGACAGGTATGCTGGAAAATACTGTGTTTTTGGATAATCTTTGGTGAATCTTCACCGCCCCCATGGGTCCCGACCCCAGGTTGAGAAACGCTGATTTAAGGGGAAAAGTTTAGCTAAGATCTCATTTTACAAAAGTTAAAAAAGCACATTGTGAAAAACAGTTTAAAACGTAAGTGGGAAAACCCAAGATCAGAGCACAGCACTTTCAGAAACCTACTGCGATGTGATTTAAAAATCAAAGGCCAGCCTCCATAGAAGATTGTTATCCTGCTGGTTGAAATGCATCTCTTTCACCAACATTTCTTCTATGTCATTGTTGATGTTTGCAATTTTCACAATAAGCCCTGGATACTTTTAAAATCTCACCAAGGGTTCCTTTCATAGTTACAACTATCCAATTATGCACAATGTATCTTATTTTCCAACTGGTCAACCTTTTCACTGACGACGTATTTTGTGGTTTAACTGCATCCTAATTTCAGAAAAATCCAAACGTGGTGTGTAAACTCTTGCTTTCTTGTTCTTGCGCAGTTTGTCCGACCTTGTTTCCTTCCACTGGTTCATCACTGAAAAATACAAGCTGACACGAAACAACACCTGGATTTGCTTTGGAGGGTCCTATCCTGGCTCCTTGGCAGCTTGGTTCCGACTCAAGGTAAGGGCCGAGGGGCTTAATGCCTGACCTTGTTTTGGACCATGGTCTTATGTTATTGTGTATTATGTTTATGATACACTGTATTTTCTTGTACAGTATATCTGTACCTATGGCTGGCTCCAGACTTAAAGTTGCAAAGCTTGAAGGTGTGACACATAGCTGTATGTTAGATGTGGCTGGGCTGTAGTACAACTGTTTAATCACCAACAGCAATAAATCACCACTGACCGGTAGGTGGCAAGTTCGAAACCCCAACTGGATTGAGCATAGCTTACTGTCCACCTAAACCAGCATTGGATTGAGCACCCAACTGTTGGATTGAGCACCCAACTGTTGAGCGTAGTTTACTGTCCACCTAAACCAGCATTGGATTGAGCACCCAACTGTTGGATCGAGCACCCAATTATTGAGCGTAGCTTACTGTCCACCTAAACCAGCATTGGATTGAGCACCCAACTGTTGAGCGTAGCATACTGTCCACCTAAACCAGCATTTGTCAACCTGGCTTTGGGGGGGGGGGCGTGACAGGGGTGTCAGAGGGGTTGCCAAAGACCATCAGAAAACACAGTTTTCTGTTGTTCATGGGGGTTCTGTGTGGGAAGTTTGGCCCAATTCTATCGTTGGTGGGGTTCAGAATGCTCTTTGATTGTAGGTGAACTATAAATCCCAGCAACTACAACTCCCAAATGTCAAGTCTATTTTCCCCAAACTCCACCAGTGTTCACATTTGGGCATACTTGAGTATTCGAGCCAAGTTTGGTCCAGATCCATCATTGTTTGAGTCCACAGTGCTCTCTCTGGATGTAGGTGAACTACAACTCCAAAACTCAAGCTCAATGCCCACCAAACCCTTCCAGTATTTTCTGTTGGTCATGGGAGTTCTTTGTGCCAAGGTTGGTTCAATTCCATCATTGGTGAAGTTCAGAATGCTCTTTGATTGTGGGTGAACTATAAATCCCCACAACTACAACTCCCAAATGACAAATGGGTATTTGTGTCAAATGTGGTCTAGTGAATGAAAATATATCCTGCATATTGAGTGTTCATGCCAAGTTTGGTCCAGATTGATCATTGTTTGAGTCCAGAGTGCTCTCTGGATGTAGGTGAACTACAACTCCCAAATTCAAGGTCAATGCCCATCAAACTGTTCCAGCATTTTCTGTTGGTCATGTGAGTTCTATGTGCCAAGTCTGGTTCAAATCCATTGTTGGTGGGGTTCAGAATGCTCTTTGAATGTATGTGAACTATAAAACCCAGCAACTACAACTCCCAAATGACAAAATCAATCCCTCCCCCAATCCCACCAGGATTCAAATTTGGGTGTATCGGGTGAAAAGATGAAAAGAATATAAATACCGGTACTGTAAATACATAAATGTATCAAAAGAGCGAGTTGTTGGAAAGTGAAGTATCAGAAGGCAAGGGAAGTTATCTGACTTATTTTTCCCCCTTTCTATCTGTTTCAGTTTCCGCATTTAGTCTTTGGTGCTGTCGCATCTTCAGCCCCTGTCCGGGCCCAGCTGGATTTCACAGGTTACCACAAGGTGAAAACTTATTCAGGGATCAAATAATTAGGTGTTCAAGGATGGTCCATACGATAGACTAAAACCAATCCCCAAAGGTGTTGTTGAAGGTTTTCATGGCGGAATCACTGGGTTGCTGTGAATTTTTCAGGCTGCATGGCCATGCTCCAGCAGTATTTTCTCCTGACATTATGCCTGTATCTGTGGCATTTTCAGAAGTTCTGTTGACAGTGAAGCTTCTGGTGTGAGAGAATGGGCCATCTGCAAGGACGTTGCCCACGGGACGCCCGGATGTGTTACCATCTTGCGGGAGGCTTCTCTCATGTCCCTATATAAGAAGCTGGAGCTGACAGACAGGAGCTCACCCCACTCCCCAGATTCAAACCACCGGATGTGTTACCATCTTGAGGGAGGCTTCTCTCATGTCCCTACATAAGAAGCTGGAGCTGACAGATGGGAGCTCACCCCACTCCCCAGATTCAAACCACCGGATGTGTTACCATCTTGCAGGAGGCTTCTCTCATGTCCCTACATAAGAAGCTGGAGCTGACATACGGGAGCTCACCCCACTCCCCAGATTCAAACCACTGGATGTGTTACCATCTTGCGGGAGGCTTTTCTCATGTCCCTACATAAGAAGCTGGAGCTGACTGATGGCAGCTCACCCTGCTCCCCAGATTCAAACCACTGACTTTTCAGTCAGCAATCCTGCCGGCACAAAGGTTTAACCCATTGTGCCACCGGGAGTTCCTAATGTTACAATTAGCAAGGTTGGATAGCATTGAGTAGCCATGAGGCTACAAAGTCAATCAGTGAGGGTATCTGTATAGAGGTGACCTGGTCTCTGTTGCCTGGAGGCATCCTCTGTTTGGGAGGTGTCAACTGGCAGTAGATTTCCCTTTCCATCTCCAGTGTCTGGAGGCGATGCTCAACTCTGGCCAAGGGGAGATGCTCTCATTCCATTTTTCCATGCTGAGGAGTCTGTTGGTCCTGGTTGTGTTGCCGGTATGGCTGCATGGACGCCTTTTCCTTCCCTACGAGACAGTACCTATTGATCTACTCACATTACATGTTTTCAAATTGCTAGGTTGGCAGAAGCTAGAGCTGATAGTTTCATCACTGTTTCCCTAACCATCTCCCATTTTTTCCCAGGTGGTTGCAGCAAGTCTTTCAAACCCAGTGATCAATGGCTCCAAAGAGGTTAGTTGTTCACTTTTTTAAAAAAAATGAACATCAGTTTGGCTACCAATTGAGTTTTATTGAAGGGTGAGTGTGGCAGCCATAGGTATACCTAATCTTTGCTAGTGGCTGTTGGAATAAGAGCAGCATTTCTCAAGCTGGGGGTCATGAGGGGGTGTCACCAAAGAGCATCAGAAAACACCATATTTTCTGGTGGTCATGGTGGTTCTATGTGGGAAGTTTGGCCCAATTCTATTGTTGATAGAGTTTAGAATGATCTTTGATTGTAGGTGAACTATAAATTTCAGCTACCACAACTTCCAAATGTCAAGGTCTATTTCCCCCAAACTCCACCAGTATTCACATTTGGGCGTACTGAGTATTTGTGCCAAGTTAGGTCCAGATCCATCATTGCTTGAGTCCACAATGCTCTCGGGATGTAGGTGAACTCCAAAACTCAATGTCAATGTTCATCAAACCCAGTATTAATGTATTATTGAAGGCTTTCATGGCTGGAATCACTGGGTTGTTGTAGGTTTTTCAGGCTATTTGGCCATGTTCTAGAAGCATTCTCTCCTGACGTTTCATCTGCATCTATGGCAAGCATCCTCAGAGGATCTCACAACCTCTGAGTATGCTTGCCAGAGATGCAGGCGAAATGTCAGGAGAGAACACTTCTAGAACTTGGCCAAATAGCCCAAAAAACCTACAACAACCCAATCTTCCAGTATTTCCTGTTGGTCATGGGAGTTCGGTGTGCCAAGTTTGATTCAATTCCATCATTGGTGGAGTTTGGAATGCTCTTTGATTGTAGGTGAACTATAAATCCCAGCAACTACAATTCCCAAAAATCAATCCCCTCCAACTGTACCAGCATTCACATTTGGGCGTTTTGGGTATTTGTGCCAAATTTTGTCCAATGAATGAAAATACATCCTGCATATCAGATATTTACATTACGATTCATAACAGTAGCACAATTACAGTTATGAAACAGCAATGAAAATAATGTTATGGTTGGGGTTCACCACAACCATAATGTTATGGTTGTGGTTCACCCCAACCAGAAACACTGGTATAAGAGCATGCATAATGGTTTGCAGGGACAGTCCCAGTCAATCGTCTGTTTTCTTCCTTTTTCAGCTGTTTTTAAAATGCCCATTTTGCTCTCTTCGCTGAACTTTCCTCTTTGACCTCAGCTAAAGAGGACCGAGTTTCAAGTGCAAATGTAGTTTGCACTCCATTAAAAGAGTACAAAATCTTATCTTTCCCAGTAGGTTCAGGCAAAAGCAAACTGCTAGATGTTCTTCCACATCAGTCACTTCTGCTGTCTTAACTTCACTCTGATATTGCTGGTGCACACTTGTTCCAATAGTAATCTATGAGATGTTGCAATGGTGTTGTGGAGTTGGGAAGGGTAATGGTTTTGGGTATCCTCCCAGGCCCAGCACAAAAAAATGGAAGGAAAATCCATCTTTTCCAAGTGTTTGTCTTGCTCTCCTTTTAGTGCCTTGATGCAGTCACCGAGGCCTTCTCTGCAGTGGAGGAGTTGGTGCGTTCTGGGCAGTTGGACAAGCTGGACAAAGACTTCCACTCCTGTTTGCCTCTGGGAGGACTCAAGGACAGCCTCATGCTAATCAACAACCTGGCCTCCATGTTCATGGCCATTGTCCAGTACAACGGCGAAGGTGTGGAGTGGGCCAACGTGGGCACCATTTGCGAGACCATGACCAACCACAACGCTGGATCTGCCTACCAGAGACTGGTGGAAACCAATAATGTGAGTCTGAGCTATTCTGGTCATCTTTGATGATTTGAAATTCCATATAGGTAATTGAGTGACTGTCACAAGGTGAAAAAAATCTGCTATGGTATACTGTTCTGTGTGCCATAGAAAGCAAGCAGGTGGTCCAAGCAAAATCCATCCAGCCCTTCTTTGCCATACTATATTGTCAGGATTAATTTAAGTTATGTATGTGTTTTAAATGTGCTTCTATGTATTGTAAATATGGATGCCACTGTGAATTAGAAATGCTGTGCAGAATGTTTATACTATGAGGCTGTGATTAAGTGAACTTGAGAAAAGTAAGATAAGGTTTGCTCTTGCTGGGAACAGAAGGGAGTAGCCAGTCTCAGCAAGAGAAGATAAGCAGATGTGAAGAGGCTTTCGTTTTGATTAGTTCCTGAATTGTAGCTCGCTGTAGTAAGACGTGTCTGATGTATGTGCTTAGTAAACTTAGTTTCTTTTGTAACTCTAAGCCTGCAGAGTCCTTATTTTACAATTCAGTGTCTACTGATCTAGCATTCCTTCCGCTGGGCGTCGTCTAACTCTGACATATATTATATGTAGAATTACTAATAATATTACAGTGTAGGGGTATAGTACAATATAGTAATATATAATACTAATATTGTGCTATGCTGATAATATAAGATATTGTATGTACATATGAGGGTTGAATGAAAAGTAATGCCTCCACTTTCATAGCTCCTCAACAGATGGCAGTACTGGTTTGCAGCAGGTACTGGCTTGTTCAGTAGACTCTCCTCTACAGTTCCATTTTTTGGGAACGGTTGTATTGTTACCTCTAAGGAACTAGTGTCCACAAGAGATTTACGTCCAAGTTCCTAATCTGTAGTCTCTCAGATGTAGATTTCTATTTTCATGCCCGCAGTGTATGACTCAGGAGTGCCATAGGCAATGGATTAAGTTGCTCTAATTAGTTGGTCCAGGTAAAAAAGGTGGAACCTAGAAACGTATAGTTTGTGGCACTTGCAGAAAGGCTTCAACTTATGGTGGCCCCATGGATGTGAAGCCTCCAAGATATCAACAAAGGCAGGACTCTGTAGTTGGCAAGTTGCAATAAATACCTGTGGATAGATGTGGTCCCCCAAGTAATGTATGAGAGCTGAATGAAAAGTAATGCCTCCACCTATGTAACTTCTCCACAGATGGCAGTACTGGTGTGCAGCAGGTACTGGCTTGTTCAGTAGACTCTCCTCTACAGTTCCATTTTGGGGAGAAGCCTTAGCATTGAACAGTTGTCTTGTTAAAGTGCAAAGTATGGCACCCTGCGCAGACGGTCGGTCAATGCGACTTAAGCAACGTGCAGTCATTGAATTCTTAACAGCTGAAGGTGTCACCCCAAAGGAGATTCATCAGAAAATGCAAGCTGTTTATGGTGATTGTGTTAATTTGAGTACTGTGCATCGTTGGGAGAGTAAGTTTAAAGATGATGAGAAGGGAATATCTGACTTGCGTGACAAACAAAGAGTTGGACGCCCTGTGACAGCAACCACTCAGTTTCACAAGCAAAAGGTTGACAGATTGATTCAGGATGATCGTCATATCACTCAGAGAGAAATTTCAAGCAAGTTAAAGAGCACATTCTAAGGAATATTTCTGCGTTTGATTTATTAAAACATTCCCATCCAAACCCAAGTAACAAAGGTGGAGGCATTACTTTTCATTCAACCCTCATATAACTTGTAAGCTGCTCTGAGTTCCCTTCAGGGTGAGAAGGGTGGGATATAAGTGCCATAAACAAACAAACAAATAAATAAACTGCCCTTACCAAAGTAAGACAGAATACGGAAATGCTACATCTCACAAAGTCTCTGCAAGAAGCCACATGCACTTTTCATACGGCAGCAAAGATGAGTTGATTTTTGCTTCTTTTTGCATCCCACAGATGGTTGTGAACGGCATTAAAATCGCATGCTTGGACAACTCATATGCAGCATTCATAGAGGAAATGAGCAACCCCAAGTTCTTTTCGATGGACATGATGGAGCGGCAGTGGATCTACCAGACATGCACAGAGTTTGGATATTGTGAGCGAGAACAGAATTCAGCCTTATCTTTTTCCTCCCCCCACTCCATGGCATTTATGCACATTGATATTACGTGTTTTATATTGGGAAAATGTAGTTTCTAATAGTGGTTCTCTAAGAGTTGGTTTACTTCTCAGGGGTCTTGTTAAATGTGAATTTGATAGAATGTGGAACAATTAGCGATTGCAAGTTCTAGAAGTCAGACTTTGATGATGATGGTGATGATGATGATGATGATATTCCAAACTAGATGTTTTTAAACCAAAATAGAATCATAGAATCATAAAGTTGGAAGAGACCTCATGGGCCATCCAGTCCAACCCCCTGCCAAGAAGCAGAAAAATTGCATTCAAAGCACCCCTGACAGATGGCCATCCAGCTTCTGTTTAAAAGCTTCCAAAGAAGGAGCCTCTACCACACTTGGGGGCAGAGAGTTCCACTGATGAACAGCTTTCACAGTCAGGAAGTTCTTCCTAATGTTCAGGTGGAATCTCCTTTCTTGTAGTTTGAAGCCATTGTTCCATTGCATCCTAGTCTCCAAGGCAGCAGAAAACAAGCTTGCACCCTTCTCCCTGTGACTTCCCCTCACATATTTATACATGACCCTCATCATATCTCCTGTCCTGTTTTGCTCTTTTATATTGTTCATATGGTTTTATACTGTTCATACTGCTTATATTGCTGTTTTATTATATTGTTAAATTGTATATTCATGTTTTGATGTGGGCGCCATGGGTGTGCCGATTTCTTAGCCGTCCTGAGTCCCTCTGCGGAGGTTGAGATAGGATGGGATATAAAAGCCCCAAATAAATAAATAAATAAATAAAAACATGTCCAGCTCTTTAGGCCGCTCCTCATATGGCTTGTTCTCCAGACCCTTGATCATTTTAGTTGCCCTCCTCTGGACACATTCCAGCTGTTGGTTTCCCTAGTTGCATTGTGTAACTTTCAAAATTTCACATGCCCAGCTCTTCAAGTCTCTCCTCATAGGGCTTGTTCTCCAGACCTTTGATCATTTTAGTCACCCTCCTCTGGACACATTCCAGCTGTTGGTTTCCCTGGTTGCATTGCGTAACTTTCAAAATTTCACAGATAAGCCCCAAACTATATCAGAGTGTGGTCAAAAGTGATGCTTAAGGAAAGACAGATTAAATTCTGTGGTGTTTGTGTTGCTGTCTGTGCAAAGTAAGATTTCACCTTACTCTCTGACCCTGTGATCATTAGATTTTGAAAATTTTGGCTTGTTGTGGATACAAGGGTTGGAGATAAGGCTTCCACAGAGACCCCTTTTGCCCATGATAATATCTCTTCCAGGAATTTTCCTGCCTGTGTTCCTTTTGCTGCAATTGAACTAAGTTGAGAAAGAAGGCAGAAAGAGGAGAGAGAAACAAGGACATTTGAAAAGTGTTCTGGTTGAGGATTAATTGAGACAGTCTCAAATTGAGGGAGTTTGGAGGGGGGGGGGCATCCAAAATTTATTTTATTTATTATTTATTTATTTCATGCATTTCTACCCCGCCCTTCTCCCACCAAAGAGGGATTCAGGGCGGCCTCACATAAGCATCATGTGATGCTGTCAACAAATAAACAACAAAGATTACAGTTAAAACAGTAAAAATCATTAAAACACATTATACAAATTCATTAATAAGTTCAATACATTAAAAACATGCCAATTAAAACCAAGACAAAGTTGGGTAAATCCAGTGTCGCAGATATCCTAAATTTTCTTTCTAATTGCCGCTGTCCACTAGTCGAACGCCTGGTCCCAAAGCCAAGTCTTCAGTTGTCTTCTAAAGGACATGAGGGAGGTGGCCAACCAGATACCCTTAGGGAGCGAGTTCCACAGACTTAGGGAGCCCATGCCGAGAAGGCCCTGTCTCTCTTCCCCACCAAGCGCATTTGCAAGAGTCATGGGATCAAAAGCAGGCCCCCTCTGACAATCTTAAGCTTTGTGATGGTTCGTAACAGGAGATACGTTCGGACAGGTAATCTGGGCCAGAATGACTTGTTTAGGATCCTAAATTATTCCAATTCCATTCTTCTTGTTGTTCCAGTCCAGACCTGTGAGGACCCTGCCTGCCCCTTTTCCCACCTGGTGAACTTGAGGTTTCAGATGGACGTCTGCAAGCAGGTCTTCAACATCTCTGACCGCAATGCCCAGGAAGCTGTGTCTTTCACCAATGAATACTATGGGGCTGACCATCCCAAAGCCAGCCGCGTCCTTTTTGTGAATGGTATGGCCAATTGTGAAGTTGGGGTGAATTTGGGATTCAGAACAAAAGACAATGATGTTTTGTGTGTATGTGTCAAGAGCGACTTGAGAAATTGCAAGTTGCTTCTGGTGTGAGAGAATTGGCCATCTGCAAAGTCGTTGCCCAGGGGACACCCGGATGTTTGATGTTTTACCATCCTTGTGGGAGGCTTCTCTCATGTCCCCATATGTGGAGCTGGAGCTGACAGAGGGAGCTCATCCATGTTCTCCCTGGATTCGAACCTACTACCTGTCAGTCTTCAGTTCTGCCAGCACAATAGTTTAATCCATTGCGCCACTGGGGTCTCCAGAGACAATGATGACACTAGGACTTTACTCGTCCAACGCTCGGCAGCCAGATTAATAACTGGGGCGACTTACAGGGAGCGGTCAACCCCCCTGTTTAAGGAGCTTCATTGGCTGCCGTTCATCTTCTGGTCCCAATTCAAGGTACAGGTTCTTACCTATAAAGCCCTAAACGATTTGGGACCTGCCTACCTTCGTGACCGTATCTCTCTCCATGAACCAGCCTGAGCTCTTTGTTCTTTGGGGGAGGCCCTCCTTTCGCCCCTGCCAGTTTCTCAGGCTCACCTTGTGGGTACAAGGGAGAGAGCCTTTTCCTCTGTGGCTCCCTGACTCTGGAACCCATTGCCCGGAGAGATTAGGAAAGTCCCTACCTTCGAAACCTTTAAAAAGAATCTCAAGATCTGGCTCTGCCATTGCGCTTTTGGAGAGTAGTCACATAATCTTAAGCTATTGCTCCCCTCAACGTTCTTGTCCTAGGAGTACACCCCACCTTGTACAAAGGTCTGTCTATCTCCCTGCCTCTCTATGAGTTCTCCCTTGCAAATAATTCTGCTCCTTTATCCCACCCTGAGTTTTTAAATCATTTTATGTACATGCGGCCTGCTCACTGTTATTATGTTTGTTTATTGCTTCCTTATGTTTTGTGCACATTGCTTATTGTATTCATATGTTTTTTATTTTATTTTGCTGTGCTGTTGTTTGCGTTTTGGAAATGCGACCGCATTTCCATCTACAAACCCACACGATCTCTTCGATCTTCCGGAGAGGCTCTTCTCTCGCTCCCGCCCACATCACAAGTGCGACTTGCAGGGATGAGAGACAGGGCCTTCTCTGTGGTAGCCCCCCGGCTCTGGAACTCACTCCCCAGAGATATTAGGCAATCCCCCACAGATTCCAGATTCCTCCTGGCCATCTTCAGGAGGAATCTGAAAACCTGGCTATTCCAATGTGCCTTTAGTGATTGAATGTAAGATACTCCCTGACCAAACATTGCACAAAATGTCCTTAGAAGCATTTTATTTAATGGTTCGTGCCCTCCTCATTCCCGGATCTTCCTCCTTATAACTTATTTTGTCCTATCTCCCAGTGTTTTAAAAGTTTATCCTTCAATTTTAGCCTTGCCCAGTGAAGTCAATGTTTGATTTTATATTTCTGTGTCGTTTATTATGTTGGTTTTTCATTTTATGTAATTTTTTGTTGCTATTATGTTCTTGCGTTGTATTATGTATACTGTATTGATGGGCATGGCCTCATGTAAGCCGCACCGAGTCCCCCTGGGGTTGATGGAGCGGGGTATAAATAAAGTTTTTTTATTATTATTATTATTGTTGTTGTTGTTGTTGTTGTTTTGTTGTTGTTGTTGTTGTATTTTATTTTATTGTATTTGTTGTATGGGCTTGGCCTCATATGAGCCGCTCCGAGTCCCTGTTGGGGGAGATGGTGGCGGGGTACAAATAAAATTTATTATTATTGTTGTTATTGTTGTGGGAAAAGTTTCTACCAGAGGTGGGAAAGTTACTATAGAAACTATCCCAGCTAGCAATTGCCAGTACTTGGAATACTTGTATTCCAAAAAGGCAACCTTCTTCACCCGTGGGAGAGCTTTATGTTACACTTTCCTGCAATAGATCTTCAGGGACTGACCTTTTCTGTTGGATCAGGCTTGTTGCTTGTTTGACCTTTTCTCTGTTTAAGACTTTTTCTGACCTCATTTCTTAGGTGACATCGATCCTTGGCATGTGTTGAGTGTCCTCAAGGACCAGTCCCTCTCTGAGTTGGCCATTGTCATCAATGGCACTGCCCACTGTGCCAATATGGATTCGCCTTTGCCCACAGACCCATTGCCTCTGGTTGAAGCCAGAAAGGTAATAAGGAGCCAATGATTATATTTTCTATATATAGCATGGTATTATTAATATATTACGGTAATAAAAACAGTTGTTGGAAGACATGATGAGAAATTCCTCAGGAATCCTACTCTCTCTAGCCCTAAATTGGCAACGGACAGGTTCTCAGAGGTCCAGGTTTTCTGCTCCAAAAGTGCATTTCTGTTATACGTTCTGTCATGCTAGGTTACAATTATAAATGTTTTGTTCTTTGTATACCAATCTCTTAGCAACTATCAGAGCTGTCTCCTTGTGCTGTGTTTGATCAGTTGTCTCTATAGCAAATCTTTCTTCTCTGATTTGATTTCCTTTCTGTTGACCCATTCATATGACAGAATTACAGCCTGCCTCCACATTTTCATGCTTAATTTTTACCAACTTGATTTGTTTGTAGGTTTGATTCATATGTTCTCTAGGAATCTCTAAGTTCTATAGGCAACTTCTGTTGGAGGTTGACTACAGAGTCATGCTAGAAATTTACAGATTCCTAAAATGGGTTTTCTTTCTTTCATGCAGTCATGCTGGCCACATGACCTTAGAGGTGTTTACGGACAATGCCGGCTCTTTGGCTTAGAAATGGAGATGAGTACCCACCCCCCCCCCCAAGAATCGGACACAACTCGACTAAATGACAAAGAAGTCTTTACCTTTACCTTTTATACATTACTAGCTGTACTCGTCACGCATTGCTGTTGCCAACCTTCCCTCTTCCTCTCCTTCTTTCCCTCCTTCCTTCACTCCCTCTTTTTCTCCTTCTTTCCCTCCTTCCTTCATTCCCTCTTTCACTCTCTCTTTCCTCCCTTCCTTCCCATCTTTCCTTCTCTATCTCTTTCCTTCCTTCCTCCTTTTTCTTTCTCTTCTGCTGTCTCTCTTTTCTTCCTTCTCTTTCCTTCCCTCCCTCTTTCTCTACATCTTCCCCCTTCCTTCGCTCCCTCTTTCCTTCCTTCTTTCCCTTTTTTCTTTCCTTCTCTCCTCCTTCCTTCCTTCCTTTCCTTCCTTCCCACCCTTTTCTTTCCCTCCCTTTCTCTCTTCTTTCTTCCTTCTCTACCTCTTTCCTTCCTTCCTCCCTTTTCTTCTTTCTTTCTTTCTTTCCCTCTCACTTTCCTTCTTTCTTTCCCTCTTCCTTTCTTTTCTCCCCTTCCCTCCCTCTTTCTTCCCTTTTTCTGTATTGTCATTTACCTTTTCATCATTTAGCTTTTGGGGGCATTTTAAGTCCTTTCTGCTGTGTTTTTCAGTGTTTTTATGAGTGAAGGATATACATTGGGTTGTTAGGTTGTTATTGTGTCCAAATTTGGTGTCAATTTGCCCAGTGGTTTTTGAGTTCTGTTAATCCCACAAACAAACATTACATTTTTATTTATATAGATAACTGTACCCTCAATTCACTCCTGATACAATAAATAAATACATAAAAACACGGGGAAAGATTATTAAAGCACAAAACTTTGTTTTTGTGGGACATCCTGCAGCACATTTTGCTACAGTTTTTCAGTGAATATTCCATTGAGTCACAACCAGTTCAACATAGCTTGTGACAGCCACAAAAACAAAGTTTCTGGAATAGAACAACCACTTTCAAAGTAAGTAAGTACCACATAATTAAACAGGAATTAAACAGGCTGGGTTTAGTACAGCAGGTTAAACCGCTGTGCTCCAGAAAGTCACGCCAATTGGAAGGTCAGCAATTTGAGCCCAGGCGAACTGAGCACCTGCCATTAGCCCCAGCTCACTTGTCCAACTAGCAGGTTGAAAGCAGAAATGTGAGTAGGTATTGCTATTTAACGAGGAGGTAATAAAGTCACCTTTAAAAGGACATCAATCGGAGGAAAGCTCATCGGCATGGAAGATGGAGTGAGATCACCCCACCATGGCCTGAGTTGAGCACAGTCTCCAAGATGTCAGAAATAAGATGGGAAAAACTGCTTTTACCTCTGTTTGTGTTGTCTGCCCTTGTTAATTGTATTATCGGCATTGAATGGTTGCCGTGTGTGTTCTGTAAGCTGCTCTGAGTCCCCTTCGGGGTGAGAAGAGCAGGGTATAAATACTGCAAATAAATAATAACACTTTCAAACCAGGAACAGAAAATGTTTCAAATATTGTTACATAGTATTATTAGAATGTAACTGCAAAACATGCATTTCACAAATGTACTCCTTTTTTAAACTAACAAAAATGCACTTTTGGCTGAGCAGGTATTGTGGCGTAATGTAAAATCACGCGTCGTTCATGTCTTGCCAGAGAAAGAAAATATGCCATGCAGATGATCAGTAAAGAACAAGTAGTTTACTCTTCATCATGTAGAACAACATATGTGCAATCATGTCAACAGTTATTGCCCCAACTTTATTCTCCATCTTCATCGCTATGATACTTCACCTTGTTGATGGGAAGCTTCCCACCGGAGTGGAAATCATCTATCAGACAGATGGCAAGCTGTTTAACCTCAGCAGACTGAAAGCCAAAACCAAGGTTACAACAACATCTGTTATAGAACTCCAGTATGCTGATGACAACGTCATCTGTGCGCATTCAGAAGAAGATCTACAAGCCACTCTAAACACCTTCGCAGAAGCATACGAGAAGCTTGGCCTGTCATTGAACATCGAGAAAACCAAAGTGCTCTTCCAGCAGTCACCAGCCCACCCCTCTCCAATGCCAGAGATACAGCTTAATGGTGTAACATTAGAAAATGTTGACCATTTCCGCTACCTTGGCAGTCACCTCTCCACCAAAGTCAACATCGACACCGAAATACAACACCGCCTGAGCTCTGCGAGTGCTGCATTTTTCCGAATGAAGCAGAGAGTGTTTGAGGACCGGGACATCCGTAGGGATACCAAGGTGCTTGTTTATAAAGCTATTGTCCTCCCAACCCTGCTATATGCCTGCGAGACGTGGACTGTCTACAGACGTCACATGCAACTCCTGGAACAATTCCATCAGTGCTGCCTCCGGAAAATCCTGCAAATTTCTTGGGACAAATGTCAGCATGCTGGAAGAAGCAAAGACCACCAGCACTGAAGCGATGGTCCTCCACCATCAACTCCGCTGGACTGGCCACATTGTCCAGATGCCCGACCACTGTCTCCCAAAGCAGTTGCTCTGTTCCAAACTCAAGAATGGAAAATTGAATGTTGGTGGACAGGAAAAGAGATTTAAAGATGGGCTCAAAGCCAACCTTAAAACTCTGGCATAGACACTGAGAACTGGGAAGCCCTGGCCCTTGATCGCTCCAGCTGGAGGTCAGCTGTGACCAGCAGTGCTGCAGAATTTGAAGAGGCACGAATGGAGGGCGAAAGGGAGAAATTTACCAAGAGGAAGGCGTGTCAAGCCAACCCCGACCGAGACCGCCTTCCACCTGGAAACCAATGCCCTCACTGCAGAAGAAGATGCAGATAAAGAATAGGGCTCCACAGCCACCTACAGACTCACAAGAACTCTGATCCTGGAAGACTATCCTACTCGGCCAATGAGGGATCACCTAAGTAATTGTGGTGTAATGTAAAATTACGTGTAGTTCATGATCAATCCATGCACTGTCTTGCCAGAGAAAGAAAATATGCCACACAGATGATCAGTTAATAACAAGTAGTTTACTCTTCATAATGTAGAACAACATATGTACAATCATGTCAACAGTTGCATTAACTCACATAATGTCCTTTTAGGGAGATTTAAAATGGTCTTTCCGTGCCCATGTGGAGAAACTCCTTCCAGCAGCTCATGAAGCAAGAGTACACTCCAAACTGCACAGCTCAAGCCTGAATATGTAACAGTAACCAAAACTCCCAGGCTCAGCTAGCTCCCAGGGCGTATCCCAACCAATCAGCTTCATGCTTCTTATTTTACAGTGGACACAAACATACTAACGGATTTCTTACATGCTCAAAAAGGTATAACTACTGATGAAACACCATAAAATGTGTGACCAACCCTCTCTTCTTTCCCTTTGCAGAAAATCACCTCTCAGGTCGGTGAATGGCTGGAATTGGCAAGAAAGACACAACAAAACAGCTAAGCAACCAAATGGAGGGACAAAAGCTATTTGCAGGAACTGATCATTGGCGAAAACCTGCCCAGACTCAACCTCAATTAGAGGCTTGTCAGGAAAACCTATTTGATGACAGCAATTCTACTTTTTTTACACTTCAGAACTCATTTGCATCATATTGGAACTGACTCTTTTATTACTGTGAAACGTACTTTTACTTTTCTTTACACTTGGAAATGCATTCGTGTGACCTTGGAACTGACTTTTTTTTACTCTTATTGACTGTGTTTTTGTTTTAAAAACTTTTTTTAAAAAAACATTTGCAAATAAAATGATTTTTATATAATGGATTCAGCAGGATGAGCTCCCATCTGTTAGCTCCAGCTTCTCATGCAGGGACATGAGAGAAGTCTCCCACAGGACGGTAAAACATCCAGGTGTCCCCTGGGCAATGTCCTTGCAGACTGCTGACAGAAAGGTCAGAGGTTTGAATCCAAGGAGCAGGGTGAGCTCCCATCTGTCAGCTCCAGCTTCTCATGCAGGGACATGAGAGAAGTCTCCCACAGGACGGTAAAACATCCGGGTGTCCCCTGGGCAATGTCCTTGCAGACTGCTGCCAGAAAGGTTTGGGGTTTGAATCCAAGGAGCAGGGTGAGCTCCCATCTGTCAGCTCCAGCTTCTCGTGCAGGGACATGAGAGAAGACTTCCGCAGGATGGTAAAACATCCGGGCGTCCCCTGGGCAATGTCTTTGCAGACTGCTAACAGAAAGATTGGCAGTTTGAATCCAAGGAGCAGGGTGAACTTCCATCTGTCAGCTCCAGCTTCTCATGCAGGGACATGAGAGAAGTCTCCCACAGGACGGTAAAACATCCAGGTGGCCCTTGGGCAATGTCCTTGCAGACTGCTGACAGAAAGATTGGCAGTTTGAATCCAAGGAGCAGGGTGAGCTCCCATCTGTCAGCTCCAGCTTCTCATACGGGGACATGAGAGAAGCCTACCGCAAGATGGTAAAATATCAGGGCGTCCCCTGGGTAATGTCTTTGCAGACTGCTGACAGAAAGGTTAGTGGTTTGAATCCAAGGAGCGGGGTGAGCTCCCATCTGTCAGCTCCAGCTTCTCATACGGGGACATGAGAGAAATCCGCAGGATGGTAAAGCATCTGGGCATCCCCTGGGCAACATTCTTGCAGACAGCCAGAAGCGACTTGTAGTTTCTCAAGTCGCTTCTGAAATTGAAAAAGAGAATGAGAGAGGATGATGCCATTTTCTTCATCATCATCTCATTTAAAGTGCACTGCTCTTCTGTTCTGTTCCCATCAAACCACATGGTTGTAGTACAGGCATGGGCAAACTTTGGCTCACTTGCAGAAAACCATATTCAATAAGCTTCAGCACTATAAGAGGGTTCACTAGACCAGTCACTCTCATTGCAAAGGTGTAGTAACTGTGAAGTCATGGACCATAAGTGGTCCACGGACCACAGGTTGGGAACCATTGGTTTATATATGTGGAGAAGTTGGACTAGACCTCCTATTACAAAAATAAAGAAAAATGTGTTTTAAATAGCAGAGAGCCAGCACTGTGCATTAGTTTCAGCATTGGACTTTTATTCTGGAGACCAGGTTTCGAATCCATGTTAAGCTATCAGATCCCACTTGGGCGAGTCACACTCTCTCAGCCTCAGAGAGAGCCAGAGGCAAACCCACTATGAATTAATCTTGCAAAGAAAACCCCATGATAGACTCACTTTAGGAGTGCCAGCAATGGGAAAGAAGCATGTGACAACAACAACTTAAATAACAATTTATATTAAATGTAGATGTCAATTCCATACAAACATAGTGTGCTGTCATGTGCTGGTCCTACAGCAATTGGCTTTTGAACAGGACATGCTCTTTGTGCCCAGCGGGAAGCCGGGTGCCTCAGCTGAGAGGCTGTAAGGATTTTCCTATACAAAAGTCTTTAGACACTTGAAAAGTTTAACAAGGTCCTTTATTATTGCTTAGGTCTTCAACAAAACAATCAAATACTTTTCAGATCTTCAACAGGTCAAACAAATACTTAAAGGCTTTGAATCAACTGGTGGCTTTCTTAATCTTGTTCACAAGGGACAGGCAACTGGCTTCATGAACTGTTTCTTTAAGTGTTTATTTTCTTGAAGAGGAAAACCCTTTTTAACCCCTCCTTGGGCGATCTACTTTCTAAACTTTGCTGGTGTGGGCTCTACTCCCAGTTCCAAATTGCTTCTTGGGTCCTGAGTAGACCTACCAGTCAAGGCTTTGTAGATTCTCCAGCTGGAGTCCTTTTGAACTGTTTTGCACCAGAATTTTTGGTGAAACGAAGCTTCTCTATAGGTGGAGCTGATTCACGTCCTGTAGCTAAGCTTTTGACTGTAAGACTGAGCTAAAATGGCTCCCTTTCCTTCCTGAACTCTGGGGAAAAGGGCGGAACTAAAAACCCCAATGATGATAGGCAGGTGGCTGCAAATCAAGGGAAGCCACCTTATTGCAAAGTACATGGAACGTTGGAATACATGCAAACACTCAAAGAAAAAAAGGAAGTTGGAGCTCCTGGTACAGCCGTACCAGAACACATAGTGTTGGAAGAGACCCTAAGGGCCATCCAGTCCAGTATTGTGCAGGAAAAGCACAATCAAAGCACTCCCGACAGATGGCCCACAACCTCTGCTTAATAATAATAATAATTCTTATAGAATTCTAGAATTGGAAGAGACCCCAAGGGCCATCTAGTTCAATCCCATACTGCCATGCAGGAAAAGGACATTCAAAACACTCCCAACAGATGGACATCTAGGCTCTGTTTAAAAGCCTCCAAAAAAGGAGCCTCCAGTAGATTCCAAGGTAGTGTTGATACTTAACAGCAATACTTAAGAGTGTCCATTGCTTTATAAAAGTTCTTAACTTTTCTGGATATTTATTGATAGTAAGTGCTATGGATGTGAGAAGAAGCTGAAGGAGCAAACTTTCCCATGGAACTTTGGCCAAAAAGTTGAGTTCCATGCATAAGTTATAAATGCTTGAAAACAAGGTGTCGCATCTTTAACTTCAGATTGTCAGTTCAAAAGAGGCAGCGGATTGGAAGCGCATGGCTGGGTCTGTTTCTCCAGCTTGGCCATCGGTGAATTGATCTTCCTTTGAGAAGGCTTCCATCTCTTGCTGCAGCTCTTTCAGGTCTTGGATCTCCAGGGCAAGAGTGTAGAGCCGGTTGAAAAGCGCCAGGTCAGCCAAGCGCAAGCTGAGCTACAGGGTTGAAAAATAGCAAAATGTGGCTTTCGTCATTGGTCGGTATTTGTTATTTTGTGCTGACTTAGTTGACCGCCTAGCACGGACATGGGCAAACTTTGGTTTTGGACTTTAACGCCCACAGTTCCTGACAGCCTACAAGAGATATTCAGAGGTGGTTGTGCCAGTCCTTTACTTTGAAATATATCTTACATCTAGTATTCATTAGCAGTCATAGCAGACATAAAAGTATTAGCATATAATTTTAAATATACAAATATGCAAACATTAGAACACAATTAAATATAAACAGTATTAAGAAATCACAGCTAAAATCCATTAAAACACATTCAAAATTAAAAGCCACAGCAACTCCCAGCATTGAGCCATGGCAGTTCAGGTAGTATTGTTGAAGGCTTTCATGGCTGGAATCACTGAGTTGTTGTAGGTTTTTTCGGGCTATATGGCCATGTTCTAGAGCAGTGGTTCTCAACCTCCCTAATGCCGTGACCCCTTAATACAGTTCTTCATGTTATGGTGACCTCCAACCATAACATTATTTTTGTTGCCACATCACAACTGTAATTTTGCTGCTGTTATGAATTGTCATGATATGCAGGATGTATTTTCATTCACTGGACCAAATTCGGCACAAATACCTGATATGCCCAAATTTGAATTCTAGTGGGGTTGAAGGGGAGATTGATGCTGTCATTTGGGAGTTGTAGTTGCTGAGATTTATAGTTCACATACAATCAAAGAGCATTCTGAACTCCACCAATGACTGAATTGAACCAGTCTTGGCACACAGAACTCCTATGAGTAAATACTGGAAGGGTTTGATAGGCATTGACCTTGAGTTTTGGAGTTGTAGTTCACCTACATCCAGAGACGGCTCTAGGTAATTTTCAACGGTAAGCAAACAGTATTTTGCCCCCCCCCCCAACCAATCACTGATATATATTTTCTGTTTGTCGTGGGAGGTCTGTGTGCCATATTTGGTTCAATTCCATCATTGGTGGAGTTCAGAATGCTCTTTGATTGTAGGTGAACTATACATCCCAGTAACTACAACTCGCATATGTCAAGGTCTATTTTCCCCCAAGAGCGCCTCAAGAGCGCCCCTGGGCAAAATCAACTATACTGCAAATGCTTACTTTGTGTAATGGGTTGAGCCGCCCCTGCCTACATCCAGAGAGCACTGTGGACTTAAACAATGATGGATCTGGACCAAACTTGGCACGAATACTCAACATGCCCAAATGTGAATACTGGGGAGTTTGGGGATAAGAGACCTTGACATTTGGGAGATGTAGTTGCTGGGATTTATAGTTCAGCTACAATCAAAGAGCTTTCTGAACTCCAACGGGAGAATTGGGCTAAACTTCATACACAGAACTTCCATGGCCAATAGAAAATACTATGTCTTCTGATGGTCTTTGGCGACCCCTCTGATACCCCCTCGCGACCCCCCCAGGGGTCCCGACCCCCAGGTTGAGAAACACTGTTCTAGAGGCATTCTCTCCTGACGTTTCGCCTGCATCTATGGCAAGCATCCTCAGAGGGAATGACTGCTAGAAGGTTGTAGCATCCATAGACTGACAAATCACAAACAAGACAATTTAGTTAATTTATTTATTTATTTATTTGCTTTATTTCTATACCGCATTTTTCAGCCTAATTAGGCGACTCAATGCGGTTTACACAATGCAGGTTATCACAACAATAAACAGTTAAAAACACATCATACACAACAACAAAATCAACAATTATTATCAATTCATGACGCCTCGATAACAGAGCAAAATCCATTCTCATAATCCTTGTGCCATTCCTATGTTCAATTTTACCGTCTTCCTGTGTTCAGTTGCACTGTTTAGCCAAACGCTTGCTCGTAGAGCCAAGTCTTAACATGGCCATATAGTCCAAAAAAACCTACAACAACCCAGTTCAGGTAGTGTCAAACCACACTAATTCTACAGCATAGACAAACCACAAATCACCTGTTGGCTTAAGGAAACTTTATGAATTTCACATAATTCAGCAAGGAATCGTCAGACCTTTTACAAGCATGTGAAAAAGGTTGATTCAGGACTCTCTCTGCCAAACAGAGAGAGATGGAAGTTGCAATTACATTAAGCATCAGCCATCATTGCATAGAAGATGCAA